GTAACGAGGTGAGTTACGTCAGATATAAATGGTTAAACATTCATATTTTTTTTTTTTTTTTTTACATTTATTTAAATCTAGAATGCCCTATTGAGAATTACTATTAGTTTCCCCCTCCCTTAAAAACTTGCAAAATAAAGCAATAGCTTAGCTGGAATCCAGCGCGGGGTTTAGTTCCCCTTGCTGAATTTTCCTCATAGAGATGCATTCATTCAATGCATCTCTATGAGGAGGTGCTAACTGGCCAAAATGGTGATTGGCCATGCCCCCTTGCAGATTCTGGTGATGTCGCCAAGGGGGCGGGGCCAGTGCTGGCAGACCCGCACAGCACTGGAAATAAAGGTGAGTTTTTCATGCTTTTAAAGGAGGCTGGGGAGGGAGGGAAGCCACCTAAATGGTGGGTTTTGCACGATAGGACCAGGATTACATGTTTGTGTTCCTGACCCTGTAGTATTCCTTTAACGATAGGCAACCTAAGTCTAGTGTACCGTAGGTGTAACTAACCCGGGCATAAAAGTGAATATATACCTGTATGTGCAGCGTATCAAGTAGAAGCGCTCTACATAAAAATTCCTTCCACCATGACTATTTCTAAAAGCAAACGCGGTCGTGATGGTCCGAGTAACACTAAGTTCATTTTTAGAAATGTTACGTTAGCCCATTTATTAACGTGAACAATGTACAATTGTCAATACGATTATCAGAGACACAGCAAACACTGGTATTTAATGTAACATAGGGCAAGAAGACACTTCTATATAGATTCCTGTTAAAAATATTAAACTAGGTATTACCATGGGATTGAAGAGTGCCATTTATCTAATATACACATACCTATGAACCAATTTAATATTTGGGAGTGGAGGTCCAAGAAATGTATCTCTATAAAACCACCAATAGAGTTCCATACAAAATCACTAAAATGTTAAAAAGTCAGCAAGATCATTTCAAAAAGCCAAGGTTCCCCTCATTTGTGACATTTTTCAAGACTTTGCTTACTCAATACCAAATTAGATGTTATTTCTTGCACTCTCCAACCAATGTTAAGAGATGAATTGGGGTAACTGAAGATAAACAAGCAACAAATGTCTCAGTCAGCACAGAGAGACTTTAAAATACCCCTTGGTTGCAATATGCCCATTTGTGCTTTTTTACCACCACATCTCTATCTCCTGATCTTTCCTTTTATTTTCTTTCATCTTGGTTTCTCCTAACCATTTTCTTTGGCCTATGAACCTATTGAGCTAAACCAGTCTTTTTTATGAGCTAGTCATTTTTGTTTCTGCTCTACAAAATGCTCCAGAAAGGTGGGGAGCAGTGCCCATTGGACTCTTGATACGAAGTCAAACCATTCTAAAACAGGTTAATTACTTACATGTGCTTGGAGTGCTCCTTTAAAACATTAAATAGAAGTTGTATTTTTTTGTTTAACCCATTAAAGACCAAACTTCTGGAATAAAAGGGAATCATGACATGTCACACATGTCATGTATCCTTAAAGGACCACTATAGTGCCAGGAAAACACACTCTTTTTCCTGGCACTATAGTGCCCTGCGGGTGCCCCCACCCTCAGGGACCCCCTCCCGCCGGGCTGGATGGCGAGGAAAGGGGTTAAACTTACCTCATTCTCCAGCGCCGGGGCGGGGAGCTCTCCTCCTCCTCTCCGCCTACGATCCTCCTCCTGGGCTGAATGCGCATGCACGGCAAGAGCTGCGCGCGCATTCAGCCGGTCTCATAGGAAAGCATTCATAATGCTTTCCTATGGACACTTGCGTCTTCTCACTGTGATTTTCACAGTGAGAAGCACGCAAACGCCTGTAGCGGCTGTCAATGAGGCAGCCACTAGAGGATTTGGAGGCTGGATTAACCCATTTATAAACATAGCAGTTTCTCTGAGACTGCTATGTTTATTAAAAAAAAAAAAAAAGGGTTAATCCTAGAGGGACCTGGCACCCAGACCACTTCATTAAGATGAAGTGGTCTGGGTGCCTAGAGTGGTCCTTTAAGGGGATAAACATAGACAATTTAAAAACAAAAAAGTAAACCATATTTCACAGTTCACATAGTATTTGTTAACCAAAGCCAATATTTTCTCAAATCGCAGAGATGGGAAATTCCTATTGTCCAAAGCCCAGGACATGCAGTGCCAGACACCGGTAAGCTATCAGCCATGACGCAAGATTCACAGTATGCACTTAGACTCAATGAATGCCGGTGCTGCCTAAAGGGTGATTACTGTGGTCTGCACATGCTGGAGGTGCAGACCAAATGTTCCTCCACAATTGAACACCATGCACATTACACAGATTCAACAAACATCATACACTACCAGCAAATGCCATATTCACACACATTAGCCACAGACAGCAAACATCAAATATAGCCATCAAACGTCACAAAGTGTAAACCACACACATTACACACAGGAACCACACTGAAACTGTGACAGAGGCTTGGTCACTAAACTCTGAATTTTCACAAATTAAATCTGAATGGAGAAACTGAGGCCAAAGATTGTGATTATATTGGAGCTTGAGAATTTTTCCAAATCAACTTTTTTTCCCCCTCAGTTTTTCCATTTGGTTTTAATTCACAAAAATGTTGATTTTGGTAAATAACCTGTCAATGTCCAGGGCTCAGACAGGTGCCCCAATCAAATAGATTTTTGTGTGAAAGGACAAATCAATTGTCATAACCGACAAGGAAATCGCACACCCACTTTTCGCCCTTTGGACAAGTAGATTTTTGTTTTTTTAAATTTCCACACCCCTTTAATTGTAATTTGACATGGTTTGCAGCTTATTCACGAATACAAATGAAAATCTCACTTAAACAACAATTCAAATACATTTACCAAAAAAAAAAGAGAAACAGAAATGCAAAGCAAAGGATTGTACCTATGTACTAGATTTACAGAAGATTTCAAAAGCCAGAAAAAGTGATTACCAGAGTATGAGATCTCAGATCCCAGGGAGCTACACTCAGCTACAATTATTTTTATATATGGTAAGGTGCATCGTCCAACTGCACAATATAGGAGGGCTGAAAAAGCAGGAAATGTTGAAAAGTATTTCAGACAGGGTTTGGCCTGTGAGCTCTGATTCATGCTTGTCTCTCTGTACACCGACATAAAGAGCTCACAAGTCCCAGACTGAGAAGGCCTTGAGAGGGAAAAAGGAAACTTTGCTGTGCAGCCTTTTTTTTTTTTTTTTTTTAAATAAAAAAACACTTTCACAAAGAAACATAAAGGGAAAGGAAAAAAAAAAAAAAAATCAAAGGAAGAATATTAGAATTAGAAATTAGATGGAATGGTTATGATTTCCACTTTCCAGTGGTAGGGTCTACTTATAATAAAATGAAAAAATATTCTATTACCCTGTATAGTTTCATTCATCTGGTGTTAATTTGCACAAGATTACTCCAGCCCTGGATCCATCCACACACCGCACCAAATACTAATAAAATCGGAGACCTTAACGAAAATTATTCCTGTGCCCAAAAGGACAAAGTCACCACCTTTTTCTAATCGATTGCAAGCAGAGGATATGCCCAATGCTCACCAAGTTTAGTATTTAGTAACTTAAAGTGAGTACGGACAGTCATAGGATTGCAAAATAGGGCAAAAGACCATACTATAAGAACAGAAGCGGCATAAACTTAAAGGGTTACAACAAGATGCTGTGGTGATTATGATGGTACCCTGGCACTATAAACCCAGTAATAGGGCAAACTACTCTGCAACGATTTGCCCTCTTACTTGGGTCCCTTCTGTATGCAGGTGTTTTGACATACCGTTGCCATTCATTAACGGAGAGCGTCAGCTGATCACTCTCAGACAATAAATGCCCCTCTGTGCATAAAAATATGCACAGAAAGGACATTAGACATCTCATGTTCAGGCTTATGACCCCGACTGACACTACTGGTGGGACGTCATTAGTCCCATAATGGAAAACTGCACATACAGACTCCAGACATCATGGCCACTTTGAAACACTGAGGTGGTCACGTAGCTTAGAGTAACACTCTCACAAAAAGGCAAGTCACAAATATTTTAAAGCCTTAGAGATGTCACTACGCTTAACTACTAGCCAAGCCTTAAAAGGGACAGTATAGACATCCAGACAACTTCATCTCATTTAAGTGGTCTGGGTAGTGTCCCTGTCCCCTTTAGCCCTGCAATGCAAAACTTTTGTGCATGTGTTCCCCGTCGGCTGACATTGGCAGAGGAGATGCGTGACCCAGCACCTTTGTCCCTCTGCAAAAAAGTAAGGTTTTTTTTTTAACCCTTTTGCAGTGATCATCCAGGGGCAGAGTGACACTTGAGTATCAGGAATACAAACATGTATTCCTAACACTAAAGTGGTTCTATAAAAGTTACTCATCACTGCATGCCTGGAGGGCACATGGCATACTAATGCTAATGGCAAGTGGAAATTTGTAGCGCTGCATATACTATGAATTTAAAAACTTGAGATAATTAATGATATAAAAAGGTAATTGATTTAATATATATGTTTTTGTCAATTTATAGTTCAAATCAGGTTTCTCAATCTCCTTAGACAGGACAATTACCTCAACATATGGGAAAGGTCTGGCCTGGACAAAAAGGAGAAGGCTTACAGTAGCTTCAGAAACCAGTTCTGCAGCAACTGTAACATAGATTTTTCTTAACCTCTCACCCAAAAAATAAATATACAAACAAAAAACTATTAAATTTGTTTGTTTTTTCCAGGGGGGAGAGAGGGACTGTATATATACACAATGTTTTTTTGTTTGATTCTTTAAGTGGAGTGTTCCTTTAAAGGAAATTTAAAATGTTTAATCTAAAAAAAGTAAATCCCATTAAACAACAGAGCTTGCCAAGCAATCCACATTTAACATCAACATTTTCCAAACTGCAGTACAGCAGTTTATAAGTTACTTTCAATTGTGCATTTTTACTTTCACTGCTTAGCTATTATGCTGCAACTATATGTTGCAAAACATGGCGATGTGTGATGATAATGTCCATAAAACAAGTTATTAACGCACCATTTACACAGTTTTAATAGAGTTGACATTTTTAACACTTTATAAAAACCTCTAGATTGTAAACTAATTTGAGCAGGGTCCTAATCAACCTATTATTCCTGTAACATTTTGTAATTGTCTCATTTATTGTTAAATTTCCCCTTTGTAATATTGTAAATCATTGCACCATAAATTGGCGCTATTTAAATGACAATGATAATACATGCAAAAAAAAAAAAAAGCTCCTTCTGTGTCTGCACAAATCTATTCAAATCTCAACAAATCCCAGCACAGTTCTATAGTTGTGTTCAATGCAGATTATTATTATTTTTATAGCACCAACAATTCAGTTCAGCAGCGCTGTACAATGGGATAACCAACAAGCAATCTTTATTATGGGTGTATTAAATATACTGTACAGCTCTCAGCTTTTGAAAGGTGTAGATTCACTTAGTTGTTGATTTATGAATTAAACTACTAGAGATGGTTTTAAATTGCCTGTCACCTCAAACTTACCATTCTCCTATTGTTTTCTCTTCTCTTTCAGAATCTGTTCTTCATTTCTAATCTAGTTCTCTTTAAAACGTAAGACAACGTAAGCACTACTCTGTCTAGTGTAGTTTTTCTTTTGCCTGACAAATGTGACAAAAGGGTGGGTCTTAAGGCAAGCTCCAGTCAAGCTAACAAAGGGTGAAGCTTGCAAAGTGTAGGAAAAATACATACGAAAAGTAATCCCTGGTTGGTTGTTGGGGTTATTTTGCAAAATCCATGAATATAGCATACTGTACTACAAATAAATCATTAAATAAAAAAATGAATGTGCCTGCATTGTCCATTTATTATGTTTGGGCAACGGCTGTACAAGTAGTAACCAAAGCTAGTTAACATTGTAGTACACATGTACTAGCCAGACTTGCTACATGTAGTTCACAATTGAAATTGCCATGTGTTATTTCAAATAATTTAGTAATAAAATTATTAGAGTAATTAAAGAGAGTATTTCTGGATACCATATGAAACAAATATGTTACAAACTAAAAAAAGAAAATAATTTTCTTCTTAAATAAAAATTGGATCAAATGTTAACTTGTGGTTAACAAATTGGGCCTTTAGGATAGCCGTAAAACCACAACATTACTAACAAAAAGTAATCCAATAAAAAGAACAATTCTTTTTGGAGTAGGAAAAAAACAAACAAAAAAAACCCTGTTATTTCCAGCACATCAGTACAATGAATAAGTACCTCCTTATATGTCAGAGATTTGTTTATAGTCAGTAGGGATGATTTGCACCACTTTGATTAATGATAAAATAAAGAAATAAATTGACCCATGCACAATTGGATATATTCCCATAACAGCAATTGTGCATCCAAGAGAAACAGAGTTGAAATAAATAAAAAACTTTAAGTCTGTAAAAGAGAAGTAAAATGAAAGTTAAATCTTTCTACAGGTTGTAAAGGTCTCAATCCAAGTGAAGCTTTTATATCCTATATCCAAAATTTTTTGATCCTCAAAGACAGAAAGATGCCCTATACCCTTCACCTGTCTATACAATGTTAAGCAGGTCAAGTTTTAAAAGCATGCACAAACAACCCATTAGAAATAAGTATATGTAATGACAAAGAGTAAGGAAGCCCATTGGGGCTTGTAAAGCAACAAGTGTTTTTTTTTTTTTTATCTGATCTATATTTTAGACTTGATATTTAGAAATGAAAATTAGACATGTAGATATTAACGTAAAGAATAGATGTCCGGTATGACAGCAGCCACTGACACAGAGCTGTGAAGAACACATACACCCTGTACAGTGTATAATAACTATAAACAGACTTACAGGGCAGTCCCCTACATGCTACTCAAACTATGTACATAATAACTTATAAGAAATAAATATATATATATATATATATATATATATATATATATATATATATATATATATAAAGAAAATGTGTAAGGAAAACAACTGGAGCTTGTGATGCAACAGGTGTTTTTGTTTTTTTTTGTACCTGATCTATGTCAGACTTTACCTATACATTAGACATATAGATATTAAAGTGCAGAATAGATGTCCAGTATGATAGCAACCACTGACACAGAGCTGTGAATAATAAACACATACAAGGTGTACAGTGTATAATAACTATAAACAAAGACTTACAGGCCAGTCCCTTCCATGCAACTCAAACCATGTACCCATTAATAATAACCTAATAGAAATCAGGCCTATGTAATGACAAAGAGTAGGGGGGGGGGGAGAAACCCACTGGGATTTGCGAAGCAACAAGTGTTGTTCTACCTGATCTACATGGCAGACTTTACCTAGAAAAAAAATCTGACATATAGATAATAAGGTGCAGAAAATATGTATAATATGACAGCAGCCACTGGCACAGAGCTGTGAACAAGAACACATACACCCTGCACAGTGTATAATAACTATAAACAGATACTTATTACAGGCCAGTGCCCTCCATGTACCCAGTAATAATAATAATAACACAATCCCTATACATGTATAGAGACCCCAGAGGTGGGCAGGGGGTTAGTAGGTGTACAGCCATACTGTTGATAAGCCATGATACAGCCACACACAGGGCCAGCTCTCCCGGTATACATGGCTTCCCTCCTCCCCTGGATGACAGTGCAATCCCTCCTCCTTCCCCGGGCCTCTCCCCTCCTGCCCAAACCGACACAGCCCCCCTCAGCCTGCCCACATGGACCAGGAGGACCTGCTCACACATGTCACCCCGGTCGGGGGCCACACAGACATTCAGGGGGGTCAGAAACCCCAGTACCCGGGCAGCGGGCCTCAGGCCTCGGCCTGGCAGTGAGGGCTTAGCCGGGGAGGGAGCCGGGGCAGCGGGCCGAGGCACCTACTACACTGGGAGGATGGGGTCGCGGCCTAGTGGAGGAGATAGGGACGGGGGGGGGGTTAGGGGGGCGAGTCACGGCTGCCAGGCACCGGCTGTTAGACAGGAGCCGGCTTCACAGCGAGGCAGAGGGAGGCCTGGGCCTGCTCACATTGGGGGGTGTCATGGGGGGCTGGGGGTACCGGGGGGGCCTGGGCATGGGGGACGGGTGACCCCCCGGGGGGGAGAGGGAGGCTGCCGGCTGGCTCCCCCCCGGCTGTGTGTCCTATCTGCCGGGTCTCACCTTCATGTCGGGACATCCTATCGCTCAGGGCCGCCGCCGCTGCAGCTGCTGCTCCGACTCCTCCTCCTAGTTAGAGAGCAGAGAGTGTGTGTGTGTGCTTCCTCTGCACCCTCCTCCTCTTCCTCCTCACCAGCAGTGACACACACTGTGACAGCAACACAGCATGGGGGGCACACTGACAGCACTGCCCACTGACAACAAATACACAGCATGGGGGGCACACTGACAGCACTGCCCACTGACAACAAATACACAGCACGGGGGGCACACTGACAGCACTGCCCACTGACAACAAATACACAGCACGGGGGGCACACTGACAGCACTGCCCACTGACAACAAATACACAGCTGGGGGGCACACTGACAGCACTGCCCACTGACAACAAATACACAGCAGGGGGGGCACACTGACAGCACTGCCCACTGACAACAAATACACAGCATGGGGGGCACACTGACAGCACTGCCCACTGACAACAAATACACAGCATGGGGGGCACACTGACAGCACTGCCCACTGACAACAAATACACAGCATGGGGGGCACACTGACAGCACTGCCCACTGACAACAAATACACAGCATGGGGGGCACACTGACAGCACTGCCCACTGACAACAAATACACAGCATGGGGGGCACACTGACAGCACTGCCCACTGACAACAAATACACAGCATGGGGGGCACACTGACAGCACTGCCCACTGACAACAAATACACAGCATGGGGGGCACACTGACAGCACTGCCCACTGACAACAAATACACAGCATGGGGGGCACACTGACAGCACTGCCCACTGACAACAAATACACAGCATGGGGGGACAGCACTGACAGCAAATACTGACAGCACACTGACAACAAATACACAGCATGGGGGGCACACTGACAGCACTGCCCACTGACAACAAATACACAGCATGGGGGGCACACTGACAGCACTGCCCACTGACAACAAATACACAGCACGGGGGGCACACTGACAGCACTGCCCACTGACAACAAATACACAGCATGGGGGGCACACTGACAGCACTGCCCACTGACAACAAATACACAGCACGGGGGGCACACTGACAGCACTGCCCACTGACAGCAAATACACAGCATGGGGGGCACACTGACAGCACTGCCCACTGACAACAAATACACAGCACGGGGGGCACACTGACAGCACTGCCCACTGACAACAAATACACAGCACGGGGGGCACACTGACAGCACTGCCCACTGACAACAAATACACAGCACGGGGGGCACACTGACAGCACTGCCCACTGACAACAAATACACAGCTTGGGGGGCACACTGACAGCACTGCCCACTGACAACAAATACACAGCATGGGGGGCACACTGACAGCACTGCCCACTGACAACAAATACAGCATGGGGCACGCTTGACAGCACTGCCCACTGACAGCAAATACACACAGCATAGGGCACACTGGCAGCACTGCCCACTGACAACAAATACAGCATGGGGGCACGCGACAGCACACCGCCCACTGACAACAAATACACACAGCATGGGGCACGGCAGCACTGCCCACTGACAGCAAATACACAGCATGGGGACACACTGACAGCACTGCCCACTGACAACAAATACACAGCACGGGGGGCACACTGACAGCACTGCCCACTGACAACAAATACACAGCTTGGGGGGCACACTGACAGCACTGCCCACTGACAACAAATACACAGCTTGGGGGGCACACTGACAGCACTGCCCACTGACAACAAATACACAGCATGGGGGGCACACTGACAGCACTGCCCACTGACAACAAATACACAGCATGGGGGGCACACTGACAGCACTGCCCACTGACAACAAATACACAGCATGGGGGGCACACTGACAGCACTGCCCACTGACAACAAATACACAGCATGGGGGGCACACTGACAGCACTGCCCACTGACAACAAATACACAGCATGGGGGGCACACTGACAGCACTGCCCACTGACAACAAATACACAGCATGGGGGGCACACTGACAGCACTGCCCACTGACAACAAATACACAGCATGGGGGGCACACTGACAGC